ACCTTGGTTGCGGGCACATCCCCAGTGGGGGGTGTGCAGGAGGCGGCTGATCAATGTTTCTCTCTCATTGATGTTTCTGGCTTTCTATCTCTCTCCCTTCCTCTCTGTAAAAAATCAATAAAATATATTTTAAAAAATTAAAAACTGAAACTCTACACCCAATAAACAATTCCCCATTTTCCCCTTCCCCCAGCCCCTGGCAACCTCCATACTACTTTTTCCTATAATTTAACTACTTTAAATACTTCAAATAAGTGGTATTTGTCTTTCTGTGACTGGCTTATTTCAGTTAATATAATGTCCTCAAGGATATATACACACACTTTGAATAATTATAATGGCACTGTTTATTAAAATACATTTCATTTTCAAAATTGAGCTATCAGCTGTTAAAGTGTATATACATTTTTTGAGAGATAGATACCCATGTTGCTGCCAGGACACAGTATTTCCTTTCTTTTTTTTTTAAGACTGAATAATATTCCATTGTATGGCTATGCTACATTTTGCTTATCCATTCATCTATCAATGAACATTTGGTTTGCTTCCATGTGATGACCCACGTCCTGCATGGTTCAGGGTTAGGGATCTGGAGAAGGGCCGTGCACAAATGACAGAGATGAGACAAAAAATAATAATGTGGAAATATCGGGGTCCAGGTAGGAAGCCCAATGCAAGGAGAAGGACTTCCACTTCTGCACAGGCCTTGCCAACCTTATATTCAATTTTGGATACACATCTATTAGTCAGACAGGCAATTGTGGTAACAGACAGACTATCTTAAAGGTCAGTAAATATTAGAAAGATTTACTCTGAGACTATTTGGTCACGAAATTGCTTGAGCCCCCATTGTCTGGACTAAACAATCGGTGCATAACTCTGACCATTGCCAGGGCTCAAGGTTCACCAGCATTCTGGGCTCCTTGCTTACACTTCTCTGATAATGAAGACAATGGGTGGCTTCCACCTTTTGACAGTTTTGAACATGGGCATTCAAATATCACTTTGAGACCCTGCTTTCAATTCTTTTGGATTTATATCCAGAAATTAATTTTTTAAAGAACTTCAGGGACTTCTTAAATTATTATTTTAAGTTTAGAGAAATTTAAGTGTACTGGAGAATTGGCCTTATACAAAAAGACTGTTCTGGAAGGTGAGCAAGGTGTGTATCAGAGAAATTGAGGTGTTCCCTCCAGATGTTTTTTGTTTTCTCTATAAAGCATTGAAAGGGCCGAAACCAGTTTGGCTCAGTGGATAGAGCGTCGGCCTGCGGACTAAAGGGTCCCAGGTTCGATTCCGGTCAAGGGCATGTACCTGGGTTGTGGGCACGTCCTCAGTAGGAGATGTGCAGGAGGCAGCTGATCGATGTTTCTCTCTCATCGATGTTTCTAACTCTCTATCTCTCTTCCTTCCTCTCTGTAAAAAAAATTAATAAAATATATTTTTAAAAAAATAAAAATAAAAATAAAAAACTAAAGCCTTGAAAGGGCAGCTAAGAGCAAGAAGGAATGTTAGTCTTGTCTTGAGAAGTTCTGCATAGAAGCTTGGAGAAGATGGGAGAACAATTTAACAAGGAGTTAAGGGGATATTTGCAGAGACCAGGAATTGTGTCCTCACAAGATTGAAAAAGCCAACTGCTTTTGTACCACCAAACAGCAGGAGATAAAACTTTTGCCCACAGCCTTTCACTTTGCCATACAAGGGGAACAGCTCAGGCACAGGTATTAGAATGAGTATTGGCCTTCACACCCACACCTCTTATTTCAGATGGACTCAAAGTAGAAGTTTTAAGCAACATATGAAAAATGACTTAATGAATAAATCTTGAACCCTGAATCCAAATACACATTATTGTCAAGCATCCATTCAACATGTACAATAAATATAATCTGTGATAAGCTAGAAGCCAAACTTGGCATAAAATAGGATGTCTTTGGGCAATGAGGTCACTGAGATAGATATTAAACATGAATTGAGTAGCAAAATAGGTAGAGAGTGTTCGGGGATGTGATTCTTTTTTTTTTTAATATATTTTATTGATTTTTTTACAGAGAGGAAGGGAGAGAGATAGAGAGTTAGAAACATCGATGAGAGAGAAACATCGATCAGCTGCCTCCTGCACATTTCCCACTGGGGAAGTGCCCGCAACCCAGGTACATGCCCTTGACCGGAATCGAACCTGGGACCTTTCAGTCCGCAGGCCGACGCTCTATCCACTGAGCCAAACCGGTTTCGGCAAGGGGATGTGATTCTTATCAACTGTTTGGCTATTGGATTATAGACATGAAAACACACTTGGTTGGCCTTGAAACTTGAAACCAAAAGTTGAGAGAGAAAAAATAAAATTGGCACTCTCATCAGAAATCATGTGAGAAAGTAATCTGTGAAAGCAAAATACCTGATTCACAAAGTGTAACAGGTAAAAGAGATGGCCTGTGCCATCTTGCTGGAGTTGTTGGTAATCATATACCAGGACTGTTTTGTAGTCAGAAGGAACTGCAATAGTCCATGGATGCCATCCTGGCCAACCTGACACAGTGGTTATAGGAATTGACACAATGTGCTCCCTTTTGACACAGGAACTTGTAAATACCCAAAATTTTGTTCTGTCTTGGGGTGCAGTGGACAGGAGGGGGTGACATCATGACACTGATGCCACCTATACCTCTACTTCACTGAAAGATAGAGCCATTCACTAATCTCCTCAAGTCCTTCACAGCTTTGTGCCATCTCCATAGTCCTACCTCCATCGAGGTTTAGTGTTCCAAAGGGTTCTCTGTTAAGAACTATCTTCCCTGCCAGGCTGGCCATGAACTCTAGCTACTGCTCTTTTGTAGCTGATGAACAGATTTGCTTCTCAGGTAGGAAATATCAAGGAACACCATTTAGTATCCATAATACCAGGTAGTGATAAATTTAGATCTTAAATTCAAGTCTTAATTCCTTCTTCTTTCCACAGGGTCTCTCTCTCTCTCTCTCTCTCTCTCTCTCTCTCTCTCTCTCTCTCTCATTAAATGGGAGGGAAAATACCTAACTTGTAGAGTTATTCTGAAATTAATTATGTAGGGTGAAACATAACCTAACTTAGGAGAGCTGCTCAATTTATGGAAGCTATGCTTTTATATACTACTAGAGGCCCAGTGCACAGATTCGTGCACCAGTGGGGTCTCTCGGCATGGCCTGTGCTCTCTCACAATCCAGGACCCCTTGGGGGATGTCAGTCTTCCCGTTTTGGCCCAGTCCCCACAGGCCAGGCTGAGGGACCCCACTGGTATACAAATTTGTGCACCGGGCCTCTAGTATGCATATAAGATATTTTGTTAATCTCTTCCCATCCCCCCCCAACCCTTCCCTCTGAGATCCATCAGTCTGTTCCATGTTTCCATGCCTGTGCATTGAGCATGTGCCCCCTGGTGATCAGTGTGCATCATAGCTACAGGTCAAACAGTCGAATGGTCAAACAGTCGGTCACTTAGGCTTTTATATATATAGACTAGAGGCCCAGTGCACAAAAATTTATGCACTGGCGGGGGGGGGGTATCCCTCAGCCCCACTTGTGCCCTCTCACAGTCTGGGACCCCTCGGAGGATAACAACCTGCTGGCTTAGGCCTGCTCCCGGGTGGCAGCGGGCAGGCCCAATCCCTAAGTGCCTGCCCCGCAGCCCCTGGTCGGACTCAGAGCAGGACCGATTGGGGAGTTGGGGCACTGCCCCCTGTCATACACAGAGCAGGGCGGATCGGGAGGTTGCGATGCCACCCCCAGTCACGCTCAGGGTAGGGCCAATTGGGGGGTTGGGGCACTGCCCCCATCACACACAAGGCAGGGCCAATGGAGAGATTGTGGCGCAGCCCCCTGTCACACACAGAGCAGGGCAGATCACGGGGTTGGGGAGGTACCCCCTGTCACGCACAGAGCAGGACAAATCGGAGGGTTGGGGCGCCGCACCCTGTCACACACAGAGCAGGGCCGATCAGGGGGTTGGGGCACCGCTTCCTGTCACTCACTTAGCAGGACCAATCGGAGGGTTGGGGCACTGCCCCCTATCACACACAGAGCAGGGCCCATGGGGGGTTGGGGCGCCACACCTTGTCACACACAGAGCAGGGCCGATCAGGGGGTTGGGGAGCTCCCCCCTGTCATGCACAGAGCAGGGCTGATCAGGGGGTTGGGGTGCCATCCCCTGTCATGCACAGAGCAGGGCCGATCAGGGGGTTGGGGAGCCATCCCCTGTCATGCACAGAGCAGGGCTGATCAGGGGATTGGGGCGCTGCCCCCTGTAACCCACAGAGCAGGACCGGTCCGAGAGTTAGGGTGCTGACCCCTGTCACCCACAGAGCAGGGCCAATCTGGGGGTTGCGGCGCCACCCCCGTCATGCTGCTCCAGGGGCCGGGAGGCCTCTCAGCTCCGCTGATCCTGGGGCCGGGAGGCCTCTCAGATCCACGGAACCCGGGGCCAGGAGGCCTCTCTGCTCCGCTGAACCCAGGACCGGGAGGCCTTGGGGCTCTGCTGATCCGGGGCCCTGAGGCCTTGTGGCTCCGCTGATCCCAGTGCCGGGAGCCCTCGCTCCTCCGCTGATCCCCGGGGGTGAGGCCTCGCTGCTCGGCCACTTCTGGGCTGTTTGGCTTCGCTCCACCGCTTGGAGCCTGCGTATGCAAATTAACCGCCATCTTTGTTGGTGATTAATTTGCATATCACCCTGATTAGCCAATAAGAAGGGTAGCGGAGGTATGGTTAATTACCCTTTTTGTCTTTTATTAGATAGGATTAGTAAGTAGCTATATAAGAAACAATGGGCTGCTTCTACTGCCACCTGCAACACAACTGAAAGTCAAAAGTCCTGCATGATTTGTGCCAGGAACCATGAGACCATTCAGGCTCTTTGTCCAGAAAAGAAAAGAAAAAAAAATACAGAAATGTCTTATAAATGAATGGAATCTACAGAATATGGGATGGGATGGGTCCCATCAACAGAATTCACAGATAAAATCTGCTATCTCTATACTTACCTGGCAGGGGAGATACCATGATCATGAAGGTGGTTTTCCCAGGGCCAGGCTTATCCATTGTACTCCAGATATGCTGACCCCTGTGATTTCTCCAAATGTGGAAAACTCAACTATATAACTTGTGGTAGTGGAGGATTGCGTTTGCGTACTCCCCTGTTTTTTTTTTAAAAAAAAATCTGCTATCTTCTAATTCCTAGAAGAAAGGGCCATTCATATTCATACCCTTTCCCTTCTCATTTCTGCTGTACCTAGTGTGCCAGGGAATTGTGTTGCATATTGTATGATAAGCAGACTAGGCCCCATAAAGCAGACCTGAGACTAAGAGAGGCCTCCCATTATATGGCTGCATGTTATTTTGCAATCCTACCTAAGATGTATTCTTATCTGAGTGTAGAGACTCTGGTGTATTTTGCAAATGGAGTTTGGTATTACAAGAGTTTCCTTTTTAGGTATCCCACCTTCAATGTGGCACCATCTATTTACCCTTAGTGGGGTTTGTATTCCATTTAGTTTATACTTTATCTCCTTGTCTGCCTTATTTCTTATATGCAGCATATTCTTTGTGAAATTTTTCATTCATACTCCAATATTTGTTGATAGCCTACACAGAGCTATGCCCATATGTAGCTAAGTCCTAGATGTATAATAATGAATAATGCATGGTATCTTCTTACAAGACACTCATCCTAGTGAGAGATCTTGTTACATTAAAAGTAATTATTTTAGCCTGACCAGTGTGGCTCTGTAGTTTAGCATCGACCCATGTACCAAGAGGTCACCAGTTCAATTCCAGATCAGGGCACATGCCCAGGTTGTGAGCTCAATCCCTAGTAGGAAGCTTACAGGAGGCAGCTGATTGATGTTTCCCTCTCATTGATGTTTCTATCTCTCTCTTCTCCTTCCCCCTTCCTCTCTCTCTAAAAAATCAATAAAAATATTTTTTAAGTGATCATTTGTGGGGGCAGGTGAGGGGTTGAGTGGGATCACTGGGGGATAAAAGGGGGGTAAAAGGGGACATCTTTAATACTTTGAACAATGAAGATGAAAAGTACATTTACACAATGGAATACTATGCAGCTATAATAAAGAAGGATCTCTTACCCTCTCTGAAACCAAGAAAAAAAATATTTTTAAAAGGTGATCATTTTAGACCTGGCAGGTGTTTAGCTCAGCAGTTAGTGTCCAGCCTGTGCATTGAAGGGTCTTGGGTTCAATTCCAGGTCAAGGGCAAATACCTAGGTTGCAGGTTCCATCCCAGGCCTGTGCGAGAGGCAACCAATTGATATGTCTCTCTCACATTGATGGTTTTTTATCTCTCTCTCTCTCTCTCTCTCTCTCTCTCTCTCTCTCTCTCTCTCTCTCTCTTCTTCCGTCCCTCCCTTCCACTCTCCCTAAAAACCAATGGAAAAAAATATCCTCAGGTGAAGATTAACAAAAAAAGTGATAATTTTTTTAAAAAGGACAGTAGTAATTGAAATGACAGAATTTCTAAGGAATAATAGAGTTGCTGACATATGTTAGAGAAGTTCCATGATTACTTGTTGGATGAATGGATAAATGACAATACATCCAGCCCATTAAAAGACTGAAGAGGGTTCTAAGCTATCCTTGGCACATAATACTAGTATACTCTGCACAACTTCTGAAGTGAACACACCTTGGGTTAAGGTTGGAAACTTCTGACGCCTTAAGTTCCTAGGAAAACCCTAATAATTTTTATTTAATATTGTTCTCAAATATAAGTGTAGGGAAATACTCTGCTAACTTGTGGATCTTTTTTAACTAACTGGTGTATCTTGATCACATGGGACTTGGACTATCTCATACCAATCTGTGTGTGTGTGTGTGTGTGTGTGTGTGTGTGTGTGTGTGTGTGTATGCCCACACACCTGCCTATGAGTGAATATATGTTTAAGAGAGACAATGCCTCCCAGACACACAAGGGTTGGTTGAAGTTATCTGAAATGTGGCCAGATTTCAAATCACCTCCTCCTTGGAAATTGCCAACCTTATGATCCTGTTCAGTCTTAGAGTCATGACAATATACTAGTAAGGTTAAAGTATGTCATGTTTTATTTCAGATCAGGCAGGTTTCTGAAGCACACTCAGCTGAGCCTTGGTTGCAGCACATCAAAAGTGGAGGTTACAGTCACACTTGCCTTGCTTAGTTGTTTTAATGATGGAATTGTATAGTAAGTGAATGTATGAGCTCTTAGCACAGGGTCTGGTACCTAGTAAATGCTCAGTATATTCTAAATAATCTAGAATGCCATGAACTTTTCAGGCATAGCTCAGAGTGAGGTTCTGAGATTATTTTCTGCAAAAGGTTCCCTTGTTCCACATTTGCTAAGGGAGATGGAGACCTAAAATGAACAAAGGGAAGAAATAGGCATCAATTAACCCTGGTACTTGTGGGCTCAGCTGCAATGTCCTGCTGTTGTAGTGAGCCAAGGCTGTCACATTGGTTGGGCATAGATCTGAGTCATACCTGTCTTACTGTGCCATAGCTTTTCATCAAGGGAAGCTCTGATAGCTCCACGAAGAAAGCACAAAACCAGAAATAATTATATGTATGCATTTGGGACTTTGGGTTTTAGAAGCAAAAGTCCTGGGTTTCTAGAAAAAAGAATAAACTGAGCATGTGCTTGCATAGTCACTCTTCTCTCCTTCCCTTTTCTTTTTTTTTAACTGTCTGAGTCAAAGATATTTATTTATTCTTTTGCCAAACATAACCACTGATTTCCATCTACAATCATTTTTAAGGTAAGAAACAGCAGGTGCACGGAAGTATGAGCACTGGCCTAAAGCCACGGATGTGACCCTCAGCTGGGATGTGGGGCTGGGCACCAGCAGACTCAGGGACAGAAGCTCTAGTGGGCCTTCTCCAGGAAGGCCCTGCAGCACCTCAGACACTGCTGGTACATGGTCTCAAAGTTGGACTCATTCATGTAATAGGGGTCTTCAATAATGGGCTATTTCTGGGGATCATAGCTCCCAAGTAGTTCAATTTTAGCTTTGCTATTATTGACATGATGACTTTTTCTAGTCAATATCAGATTGCTCTCATCTATACACAGCATATAATCAAATGTGGCAAAGTCTTCCTAAGTAACCTGCCAGACAATGTGATTCATGGGAACACCATGTTTCTTCATGCAATTCTGCCCTCAATAATCTGGAGGGTTTCCTACTTTGTACGTGGAGGCCGCTGCACTTTCTTTCCTCCACTTATCTGAAATGTTTTGATCAGTTACAAGTTTTCTTTATTTTTTATTTTTTGGGTTGCAAAGGGGACTTTTTTATTATTAATTAAATCGTTATTATTCAGATTAATGCATTTGTTCCTCTTTTTTCCCCCATAACTCCCCTCCACCCAGTTCCCACCCCACCCTCCTCCCTCACTCCGCATCCACTGTCCTCATCCATAGGTGCACGATTTTTGTCCAGTCTCTTCCCACATCCCCCTCACCCCTTTCCCCCCAAAGAATAGCCAGTCCACTCCCATTCTATGCCCCTGATTCTATTATAATCACCAGTTCATACTGTTCATCAGATTATTCACTTGATTTTCAGATTCATTTGTTGATAGATGTGTATTTGTTGTTCATAATTTGTATCTTTACCTTTTTCTTCTTCTTCTTCTTCTTTCAGGATACCTTTCAGCATTTCATGTAATACTGGTTTGGTGTTAATGAATTCCTTTAGCTTTTTCTTATCTGTGAAGCTCTTTATCTGACCTTCAATTCTGAATGATAGCTTTGCTGGATAAAGTAATCTTGGTTGTAGGTTCTTGGCATTCATCACTTTGAATATTTCTTGCCACTCCCTTCTGGCCTGCAAAGTTTCTGTTGAGATATCAGCTGACAGTCATATGGGTACTCCCTTGTAGGTAACTGAGTTTCTTTCTCTTGCTGCTTTTAAGATTCTCTCTTTGTCTTTTGCTCTTGGCATTTTAATTATGATGTGTCTTGGAGTGGTCCTCTTTGGATTCTTTTTGTTTGGGGTTCTCTGCGCTTCCTGGACTTGTAAGTCTATTTCTTTCACCAGGTAGGGGAAGTTTTCTGTCATTATTTCTACAAACAGGTTTTCAATATCTTGCTCTCTCTCTTCTTCTGGCACCCCTATAATTCAGATGTTGATACGCTTGAGGCTGTCCCAGAGGCTCCTTACACTATCTTCGTATTTTTGGATTCTTTTTTCATTTTGCTTTTCTGGTTGGGTGTTTTTTGCTTCTTCATATTTCAAATCGTTGACTTGATTCTTGCAATCCTCTAGTCTGCTGTTGGGAGTCTGTATAATATTCTTTATTTCAGTCAGTGTATGCTTAATTTCTAGTTGGTCCTTTAGCACCACCTCGAGGGTCTCATTAGATTTCTTGTAGATCTCATTAAGTTTATCAGCAGTTTCTAGAAAATTCTTGAAAAACCTTAAAAGTGTGGTTTTGAACTCTATATCCAGTAGTTTGCTTTCCTCCATTTCTGTCATTTGTGTCCTTTTTCTTTGTCTCCGCATTTTTTATGCTTCCCTGTGTTGATAAAGTGGTTTTCTGTGCTGAGTGTCCTCTAGGGCCCAGTGGTTCAGCCTCCCCAATTACCTGAGGAGGACATTCTTGGTGCACCCCATTGTGGTCTTTGTGCACAGTCTTCTTGTAGTTAAGCCTTGATTGTTGTAGTTATCACTGGGAGGAATTGACCTCCAGGCCAATTGGCTGTGAGAATCAGCTGTGTCTGCAGTGGGAGAACTTCAGTGCTGGAGGCACCCCTCTGGGGCAAGACTTGCTTCAATGGGGCTTTGGTGCTCACTGAGTCTGCCCCCTGAGTGTGTCCTTTATGGTTTCACAGAGCTGCAAACTGGATGGTCCCACTCTGACCTCTGGGCTTCCTGGCTCCTGGATCTCTAGGGAGGTGCTAATCTAGCCTTTGCCTGAGGCTATCCAGCAAAAGCCTCCCTGTTGGGCTTGGGCGGGGCGGGTCCCACAGGGTCAACAGGGCGGGGCTAGCAGCTATGGCTGCTCTCAGTCTTGCCCTCAGAGGCTCTGCTTCTCAGTGTCCCGGTAATCGCTGTAAGCCCCTTGGAGAGAAAGCTGCCCTAGGGTTCTGACCGATGCCAGACAGTCCCGTTTCTCTGGTATGAGTCTGGGTCCCTGGAGACTCGCT